AGAGAGAGAGAGAGAGAGAGAGAGAGAGAGAGAGAGAGAGAGAGAGAGAGAGAGATCAGTTAATGAGATAATATTTGCTAGCTCTGCACTTTAACCTCTGGCAAATTATCATGAAGAAATAATGAAAAATACAAGTCAAGTGAAAGTTAATGTCTACATGGCATTCAAAGATGAGACAGTTTAAGGACAGTATGTTCCTCAAATATATTTCCTTATAGTAAAGAATAAATTAAAGCAGAAGTATCGTGTCATGTTTTTCATATTTTCTATGTGTTAGGAATCACGACAAATATTCTATGTATTTTATCACTTGATTGTTTCACTAGTTCTGTGAGATTTGTTGTTCACGGTACTGTTGTCAAATAAGAAATCTGAAATTTCATCAACTTCAAGTTTGTCCAAGACCAGGTACACAGTGTGTGTAAAGGATTCAGACTCTGCTGCTCTGTCCCAAGGACGTGTTCTTTGAAGTGGCCCCTGACAGCACACAGGAAGTGCTTTCACTTCATAAGACACTCTTATGTACCCAGCAATGCAGGATGATGAGAAATCTGCCAAAGGGTCCACAGAAACACAGAGTGGAATGGGTACTGAATGTTCACACATTCACACCCTTAGCTTGGGGTTGGGATTATGGGTGACTCTCCCCACTTTCTATATTTTATTTTCTCAACAGTAAAACCTCTTTTTAAGAGAACAGTTTAAATGTGTTTTTGTTAAACTCAACATTTTGTAATCTCTTTACACATTTCAACAAAATACGCTTGTTCATGCTGAGCCATCAGAACCGAAGACATGCTTTCCACTTCATCTTTTTGATATTTTTTAGTAACTTTATGTGCAGTTACTCACAAATTCTTTCTTTTATGATTGCCCATCATCACCATAAAGGCCAATGTCAAAAAAAAATCAACAACAATAAGAAGCCTCATTTCTGATTGTCTCCAGCAGCCAAGGGTCTTTTGCAGCTTTATACTATGAAAAGATTAATTCGTTTTCAGAACTTTTGGCTCAGAATAGGAGAAGCTTTATACTCTCAAGATCCTAGGCCCCGACTCCCTCCTCCAGATTCTCTATTATGGCTGAAGCCATTCAAGGTCATGGGATTAAATACTACTGGAGAAAAATTGATAGTGCCAGAGGACGGGAAATGTATTATGTTTTTAATTATGTGTGGAGCAGGAAAGGATTGCCCTTTGCTGACTCTCTGTATATTTGTTTGTGTCTTTTCCCCTCTCTGCAACAAGGTCATCTCTAGAAAGTGATGAAAGTAGATGGAATGAATTCTGTTGGAGAAAATTTTAGTAGAAAGAAACAAAAAAACTTTTGACCATGTAAAGGATTATTTGCCTTCATTTACTTATTTATTTGTTTGTTTGTTTGTTTATTTATTTAAAATGTTCAGAGAAGATAGAGAAAACAATGGTTTTGTGTGTGTTAGGGTAGTGCACAAAGAGACACAAACACAAAGCTTTGCATCAGTTACTTCTCTCACTGCAGTGACAAAAACCCCTGCCAAAGCAGTTTAAGGAAGGGAGGGTTTTGTTTTAGTTCACAATGGGGAAGGCATGTTAGTAGGAGCGTGAGGCAGCTGACATGGTATCCACAGTCAGGAAGCAAAGAGAAGTGAAAGCTGGTGTTCAGGCCTTTTGCTCTTTGTTGTTTACTCCAGAACCCTAGCCCGTGGAATAGTGTGTCCACCTTTACAATGGGTCTTCATACGTCAACTCAACTAACTAAGAAACTGTTCCAGAAAATATCCAGAGATTTATCTCTAAGATGATCCTAGGTACTGTTGAGTTGGCAATCAATATAAGCAACTATGGGCTCTAAAAATGTAAGCATTTTAAAAATGATCAGAACATTATATGCTCTGCAAAGTCTCTAAAATTTAGAGACTTGAAGCAACACTTTAGTGCAGGCTGCCATGAATCTGAAAGAAAACCTGTGGTAGGTTGAATGTAATTGGCCCCAAAAGTCTTATAGGGAGTGTCACTATTCGGAGGTATGGCACTGTTGAAGGAAGGAAGCGTGTCATATAGAGGCAGGCTCTGAGGTCTTCTATGCTCACAGTATCTTCCATTGTCTCAGTTCACTTCTTATTGCCTGTACAAGATGTAGAAATCTCAGCTACCTCTCCAACACCATGTCTCCCTGCATCGCACCATGACCCACCATGATGATAATGGAATAAATCTCTGAACTGTAGGGCACCCAATTAAATATTTTCCTTTACAAGAGTGTTTGTGGTCATTTTGTCTGTTTGCAGCAGTGGAAACCCTAACTAAGACAGAAGTTGGTACCAGGTATTGAAGTATTGCTGTGAAAGGCCAGACCATACTTTGGTTTGAAGGAATATGGACCATAGGACTGTGGATTAGAAAAGTAGTTAAATGCTTTAAGGACTGCCTAATGGACCATACTAGTAGAAGCATGGAAGACAATGGGACTGAGTGTGATTTGAACTGTAGGTTCCTGGGTCAAAAGGTTCCAGAGGAGAAGAAAGTTAGTATGTGGCTTCAGAGACTAATCCTGTGATATTTTGGTGAAGAATGTGGCTGCTTTTTGCCCTTGTCCAAAAAGTCTTCCTGAGGTTAAAGTGAAGAGTTTTGTATCAATTCTCCTGGCAGAGGAAATCTCAAAACATCCTGGTATAGACTCTGTCATGGGGTTATTATTGTAACGCTAATGAAGATTTATAATAAAAAATGAGCAAGGAAAATACAAAATGTAAAATTTGAGAAGAAAAGGAGCACCAGGAAGTATAATGAAGCTAAGTCCTGTGTTCAAGGAGATAAACAGATTAAGAAATAGAATAAAGGTACTGGTGACTTCAGTGCAAGATCCCACCCAGCTAAGTTTCTAACTTGTAAAAAGAAATCAAAGAAACGTTTAGAACTAGGTGTGGTGGTGCATGATTTTAATCCCAGCACTTGGAGGGTAGAGGCTGGCAGATCTATGACTTTGAGGCCAGCCTGGACTACAGAGCAAGTTTCAGGACAGCCAAGGTTAAGCAGCAAAGGAAACCATGAAAAACAAAAAACTGGTGAAGATGTAACTGAATGAGGGGGCCATGTTCCAGTCCCAACAAGAAGCAGAACTTGGCAGCTTCACTGGATTCTGTCTTTATAGTCAAGGATAGAAGGAAGGCATTATGGAACCTTCCTCTGTGACTAAGGAAAGCTTTTGAGGCCAGACATGTGTCAGGGGTTTCCCTGAATGGAAGTATATGACCTATTTTTTTATTTCGATTTTATGGGGAATTACAGTTAAGCAATTTAATGAATCTCAGAAGAGACTTTGGACTTTAAAATATTATTGAGACTGTGATAGCTTTGGGGACTTTGAAGTTGGACTAAATGCATTTTTCATTATGAGATGGTTACAGTCTTATGGGGTCCAGAGAGTGGAATATGGTAATTGGCCCCCATAAGCTCATAGTGAGTGACACTATTATGAGGTTTGGCCTTGTTAAAATATGTGTGGACTTGTTGGAGGAAGTGTGTCACTGTAGGGGTGGACTTGCTGTGGAATAATCCTTTTTGAAGTGAAGATTTGTCACTGTGGTTGGTTTAATAAAGAAGCTGACTGACCAATAGTTGAACAGGATAAAGTTAAGTAGGAAAGCCAGACAAGGAGAATGCCGAGAAGAAGGGTGGAAAGAGGAGTCACCAGCAGATGGATAATGAGTCAGATACAAAAAAAATGGAATAGAGGTGAAATCCTTGAGCCTTGGGATAGCACATAGATTAATAGAAATGGGTAAGTTGTAAAAGCTAGTTAGTAACAAGCCTGATCTATTGGCCAGGCATTTGTAATTAATAAAATGTCTTTGTGTGTTTATTTGGGAACAGCTGGTGGTACCGAATTTCCATCTACAAATGGTGCCCAACATCCAGGGCCATGTATATCCATGTAAAGCCTGAAGAAGCTTAAAAAAGGATTCTAAACACACAAAAATGGAGTCAAACTAAGATTCATGGTAACTGCTTTTTCTTAAGGGGCTCAGTTTACTGGTGGTGGGCAGAAGCCTAGCTCCTTTAAGAGATGGCTTCCTGACTCAGCATTAGTAGCAAAAACCACATGTCTCTTTTAAAGGTGCCTTCTTCCAAACACTTAAATGTGGTTTATGGGCAGTGGGCAGTGCACTACTTGGTGGCAGCATGGATCCAAAAATTCCTCATATTTGGGGCATTAATTTGGTTCCTGCCAGTAACTCCACCATGAAGCTAAGCTTTCACAGGACTAAGAAGGGAGGTAGAGCCAGCCACCAAAGACAGGGCTTTACTCCTAACCAAGCTGCTTAGAAATTTAAAGTCTCATGTGGTCAGAAAAACACAGATATATGCAATAAAGACAGATTCAGATTGAAAAAAACTCTAAATGGTTTACAGTGTGTTTAAAAATAGACATAGGCTTGGGAGAGAGAAAAAGAATATACACAATCAGATTAAAAAATATAGTTTTAAAGTAATAAAAATAAGTCCTTAAAAGGGGAGTAAAGTAATATAAAAGAAAAAAGCCATATGAAGATGGAAAATATACAGGGAGTCTAGATATAGTATGTTATTTTGTTGTCTTTAAATTTTTTGACTGCTGAGAAAGAAGTAATAGCTGCTAAGAGACATTTGATTATAAATGCTATTGTGTTAAACCAACCTATATGTTTTGAAAATGTTTTGACTTTAAAATGGAAGCTAAAAGTTATATTACTTTGGAAAAGAGTCTCTGCTTTCATTTTATTGGAATCCCGGGTATTGACCTGCTCAGTGTCCATCTTCCTGGCTAGTATTAAATAAAGCTTGCTTTAACTGAAAAAAAAAAAAGAACAAAAAAAAGCTGTAGATTCTTTAATAGTTAGAGAAAATTTGGTTTGATTGAGGAAGAACCCCTGAAATCCTAACTCCATTTATAAAAAAATTAACCTAAAAGAAGTACAATACATTTGGTATATATTTTACCTGATTGAACATAAAACAAAAAAAATTATCTTTGGCCAACGTATGTACACTAAACACTATATTCTTGAATTAATGCAGATTTGTATGTTGCCTTTAAAAGTTTATGTGTTTTCAGAGCAAGGGGACCAACACCAATGAAAAGAGGTGGTTCAGGAGATCCAACATCTCAAAATACCTCTGTTACAGTCTCTTTAGAATCCAGCTTTCAAAAAAGCTTCAAGGCTGCTGACAGATGATCTAGCCTCACAGAATACTCTAATCAAGACCTAACAATTATGCTGATTTCCTCAAGGACCCCTCAAAGATTATCAATGCCTCCTCAAAGATTACCAGTGCCTCCAGAGAACAGGATGTAATCTAGAGAAAACAATATCCATAATCCCAAAATATTTGTTATGGATATTTGTTATAATTTAAGGGGTGTTGGTTCCAAGTTGTCATTGGTAATGATCAGGAAAAAATGCTGAACAAAGGAGATCACATTCAAGGATCTCTTTCTGAAAAAAAGGGGGAGACAATAGAAATGATAGGATAAAAGTATATTTTATTGAATCTACTTTTAAACCACAAAACAACTACTAGTCTTAAATACTTTACATTGGTATGCATTTTTGTATATTGATAAACATTTGAAGTTAATTTTGTTATACTGTATACATGTTTCTTTTCTTGTTTGGATTATTATGTTTATGCAGCTCATTAATAGTCATCGATAATATTCAAACTTATACTCATGTTAGATATGTTTTCAAGGTCATAAACAGATATATTTAGATAGATGGTCTTCAAGTACTTCAAAGACATACAGAATATAGCATTTATTATGCTTAATAACCTAAGGCTTTACATGACAGTGAGACATGACTGCTTATGACAGCACCAATCTACTTCAGAGAAGATAATGGGCATTGAAGAAACTCCATATGGAGTTTCCTTTCTGGTTGTAGCAACAGCTAGCCATGTGGGCAAAGAAATTGCCCTTCCCTCAGTTGCTGACAGATACTGTCCAATCTGAACCATCAGGACACAAAAGAAAGCAGCTTCCAACTCTTCCAAGACAAGGTAAGACATTCCTTCAAAATTCCCTGCCTCTCATAAAAGTCTGTCAGTTATACTAGGCCTACAAGCCAAAGATGGATACCTCAGCAATACAGAAGAACTTTGGGTGCCTGTCCAGGCAGTGAGCTGTCCCTGTCATTAGGTAACAACTCACCAATCTGGGGTCTTTGATGGAGTTGAAGACTAGATAGCTAAAATTATAGTTTTCCTTAGGTATGATAAAAAAGGTAAATTACATGTAAAACTTTAGACTCACCAAGATAAGATCAATAATAGAGTATTTTCTCTAATTTTGCCAAATACAAATGGACTCTAATTGCTGATGCCATCTTGAAGTCCTATTCCTGATACATTTACCTTCTGAGTGCAGGAATTATAGACTCAAACCAAGATTGTGCATGCTAGACTGCCTAAGTCACATCCTCTCTAGCTTTATTCCTTTCTTCATTAACCAAATTCTTGAAAAGCTAGCATAAAATTAGTTCCTCATAAGCAAAGATGAAATGATTAACACGGTACAAAACTATAAGGAAAAGAAAGATACCCTATTGCTCATTCTCAGAATATTTTTATCAAGTCCTCAAATCATTGTAATATTGTCCTCTTGCTCATCTTCACATTTGCAGTTTTATCACCTCTGCAGCATCTCAGGCCCAATCAACTCCATGTCACCCTTCCCCACAATAGGATCCGGATATCTTCTGAGCTCTCATGGTACCATTTCCCTGCTTTCCTAGAATCATGTTTCTTCTTTCAGGGCTTTGCTATTAGTTATTGTCTTATACCCAGGGTGTAGTAACTGATGCTTCTCTCCCTCACTTCTGAAGAGAAGGTTTTGCTCACTATCCAGCTATTCACTCTCTATCAAAGACAGGGTCCAATGAATGATATCTCTTCAACGGCTGTTGACTATATCAGGGATGTTGAGAAAGAAAGGGAGGACAGGGCTTGGTAAAGGATCAGTTGGTAAAGGGCCTGCATTGCAAACATGACGGTGTCTGTTTGATCGTTAGAACTTACATACAAAAGCTAGGTGTGGTGACATGCATTTGTAGTCTCTGCATTGGGAAGGCACAGGCATCTAGACCTTTGAAACCTTGATGCCAGCCTCATCTACTTAGAGTTCTAGGTCAGCCAGAGTTACAAAGTGAGATTCTGTGCCAAAAAGCAAACAACAATAAGAGTATAAAAATACCAACACAAACAAAAAGTATCAGAGGATGGTTCTCCATTCCCTCAATGGTAAAATTAAACTGTCCATGTTTAGGTGGTTGAGAAACTCATGTAAAGCAAACATCTGATGTTCCCTGTGGAGCTGGGAGCATAGAGCAGGTGCTGACGACATAGGTAACTGCCCTTTCCTTGGTCTTCAGTTCTGTATGCACTGCGATTCAATGTGGATTGTCATCCATTAAACAGGTCATTACATTGTTACTGCTTGATGATTTCATACTACTTAAAGCCATTTGTCTTTCTCAGACATCGGGCAATACTTCAACATAGCTCAAGAACAGGAATTGAAGTCTTCAGAGGCCCTCAAAGCCTTTAATTATAAAATGTTGTGCAACTTAATTTTCAACGCACTTGGAAAAGTTGAGAAAACATTTCCCCCATTTGTATGCATTAAACTAAATCTAATGAAATACTTCATTGATTTTATAATCCTTGCCATTAGTAGTTAAGTGTTTATATGATTCCATTCCTTAATTGTTAGAAAACTTGTTAGGACATTATTTTCTGTGGTTTTCCTCTACTCCAGGATTTATTGTCTCTCAAGCACTGCTGGTTTTAGAGCATGTATTCCTTGTGTATACATTGTCACCTCAGGATATCTCTCTCTCTCTCTCTCTCTCTCTCTCTCTGTCTCTCTCTCTCTCTCTTTCTGTGTGTGTGTGTGTGTGTGTGTGTGTGTGTGTGTGCGCGCGCGCGCTGAGGATAGAGTTTTAACAAGCATGCACTGGCATGTATGTGACCATTTCACTGGACCTAGAAACTGTTGTGATCATGTTACCACAGACTGGCCCATCGGGGGTACCATAACCGTAGGGGGACCAGGGCTTGGGTATTCAGGAAGGCAAGGATTCGGCGAATGACAGACAGACAACACACTCAAAAGTGGTTTGAATCTGCTCTAATTTTACTTCTGCAAATCAGTAGTTTATTTACAGAAAAGAAAACTATCAAGTCATACAAGGAACAGTGAGAGCTTGGCAATAATTCAATCACATCATCTTTAAAAAAAAAAACAGCAAGTACACAGTTATTAGTTGGCGCTAGACATATCCCTTCACCCACAAGAACTTTATGACCCAAAGAGCAGTCTGTGGTTTTTAAACTTAGTACAGTCCCTAGACTCCTGTAGACTTCTTTGCGGTTGCAGCGGTGTCCTTCATCTTTTCTAGTTTATTATGCACTTCTACTTTTCTGGTTCTCATGACCCACTTAGCCAATTTGGATGCTGCAGACCCTCTGTAAGTCTTTCTTTAGTTCTTTTATCACATATCTCTTTTAATATAAAACCTTTTTGCCTGCTGGGATATGAATTCTTGTACTTTTACTCCTGTAAGGGGAAGGGGTTCTGCTGTAGTCCTTAAGTTTCCCATGCTGAACTTCCTCAACAGAGGGGCCCACCATTTGCCTCCTATGAGATAACGTTTTCTACCACAAATCACTTTAGTTGGGACTCCTAAAGGATTCCTAGTGGGTAAGTGTTCATTCCCTAAAAGTGCCTGAACCTTTATATTTTCTTTATCTAGCGGCTTGAGGTCTTAAAAAATAGCTCATTCTGCTATATTTAATTAAGATCCATGTCCAGCTTCCCCTTTCCTCCATAGTTCACAACCAAAGCATTCATTAATTTTGGCTGTGCTTCATAGATTAATTAGAACATTATCAGAAAAGCAGTTATACAGAACCCATAGCCCAAGGATCTCATGATCCATGAAGCATGTCTTCTTCAAGAAGCAGGCATAACCCGGGCACTCTGCCAGGGACCTCCAGGGAGCTTAGTTCTGTGGGACAGAGCTCATATTTAGTTGGCCAGGGTGGATCAAAGAGCTTCCTCGTGGAGTCAGAGGGAGATAGAAAAAGACACGCTGGGAAGGAAGAGGAGGAGCCAAGGGTTTTCAAAGGCCTTTCAACCCAGGAAGCAGAGAAGGGCAGGATTGTGTTTCAGTCACTCTGTGGATCTCTCAGGTTTATTCCCTAATATTTATTCCTGAGTTTTATTTTTAATAAATGATAAATAAATCTCAATATTAAGGAGGCATTTTCTCAATTGAGGTTTCTCCCCATTAGATGACTCTACCTTGTGTCAAGTTGACATAAAACTGGATGGTAAAAACTGTGAGATGGAATAAACACTGCCTGCCTAAAGTTGGTTTTTGTCAGAGATTTGTTCAATGCAATGAGAAAAGTAACTGATAACACATATGTATTATTTATAATGCATTGTATACCTATGCACATGCATTTTGATTTAACCTTGTTAAAATGCTGAGAACTTGAAGTTGCTCTTCCTTCCTTCTTTCCATTGTGTGGAGGAGAGGAGTCAGAGATTATGTACAGCAGAGATTCTAGCTTTTGAGCGCAGCTAATGCAACTTGCAAGCCTGCAATACACCACAGAACAAGTTTGTAATCTGGAGAAGTAACCAAGGACTCACAATTCAAATGCCATCTCTCAGGACTTGAACCCCATAAGGATTTGAAAAGACTGCAGTGTTAGCGATGGTGCCTCAGCACATTCTTGACCTCTTAGTTCCACACATGCACTGAGCAGATGCAGATTCTTACTGCCTACAGTCTCACTACCAGCTGAGGTAGACACTGGACTCATGTGTGTGACAGCATGGTATCAGAACACAGAGCCTAGATCAGCAAGCAGTGCACAGGTATTCCACTGGTTTCTGGCTATTGTACTCGGGTGTAGAGAGCTGAGGATACACTAGTACATGTCTCAGTAATGTGCCTTCTGTAGGAATAAAATCATTCAGCACTTGGAAAATCACCACCCAATGTGAAAGGGATCAAAAAAAAAAGAGGTCACCATCACAATCATCAGTTCTAAGAATGGGTCTGACCACATAGGCAGTGACTGGTACTTCCTGCTGGGCTAAGACAAATCACTTACATCTTCAAAACCCCATACCAGGGCTTGGGTGATAGCTTCATCAGTGAAACACTTGCCTTGCAAGCATGAGGACCTGGATTCCATCTATTCAACACCTGTAAATAAAAATAGGGCCTGACAGTGGGTGCTTAATAACCTCAGAGCTGGGGAGGAGAAACATGGGTCCCTGGGGCATGCTGAGCAACCAGTAGCTCCTAAGGCAACATCTAGGTTAAAGAGAGATGCTGTATCCCCAAACAAGGTAAATAGCAATGGAAGTTGTTTTTCCCTACATGTATGTATGTACCTGTACACACATGTACATGTATACATTCACATTCATACTCAATCTCATTATATTTTTTAGAACATAAAAATGATTTAATTCGAGACATAGGAGAGATCCAAGATGGTGGAGACAAGCAGACGCAGCTTAGATAAGCAATAGATAATCCTACACCAACATACACCACAGAAGGACAACACAACACAACCAAAAAAATAACAGGAATTAACAATCACTGGTCATTAATATCCATCAATATCAATGGTCTCAACTCACCTATAAAAAGACACAGGCTAACAGAAT